GTTTTGTCAGTTCCTGTAATAACGGAAGTGATGAAATGGGCCTATAATTCATCCTGGAAAGCCTTGCAGAGGCTTTTTCCAAGCCTCTGGGAGGCCGAAAAAGGCCTCAAACCAGCCCCAAAATCATCTGTGAGGCACAGCGCAGGTAAGGGGGTGGGTGGGGGGACCATGCGCAGGGGGCATGGGGCGCACATTGCACTCTGGGTGCTGGCACGCATTTTTGGCACAGGAGCCCAAAAAGGTTAGCCACCTCTAGTATATAAGCTTTTTCCAAATTTACTTTCTTTTGAACCTTCATGTTCCTGATGGGGAGCTGTATTTCAAGATACACCTGTTTATTGAATTTGTTTCTTTGTCCAGCTCATAGCTGGAACAACCTGTTGCTTCTTCAGGTATGTTAATCTGTTAAACATTAGCAGACCTCAGTAAATTTTAGGCACACATTGACTTAATTTTTTTCTTTCTTTCAGAAAAGCTGCTTTCTAACCCTTTGTGAGATATTAGCATGGTGGAGCCTGTTTTGAGTTTTTGTTTGTTTTTGTTTTGTTTTGCTTAGCTGTAGGAGTTTCCCTAAAGGATTTTCATGGTTGGACATACCTGCATGGAGAAAAAAATGGGTGAAGCTGTTGCCAGAGTAGCTAAGAAGGTGAATGAAACCGTTGAAAATCAAGCAGATTCTCTTGGTAAGTTAACCGCTGTTGGTTCCTCCCCACCTTCCACCCCAGGATTTACGATGCTGCTACAGGTAGTCCTTGACTTACAAGCACACTTGAGGCCAAATTTTCTGTCGCTAAGTGAATTTTGCCCCATTTAATGACCTTCCTTGCCACCGTTGTTGAATGAATCACTGTCGTTATATTTATGGTCACTAAATGAACTGTTGCAAGTCGGGGACTACTTCTGTATATTAAGCTAAAATCAGTGTTTTTCAAACTTGGAAACTGGCTGGGGAAGTGTGGGAGTTGAAGATCACACATGTTAAAGTTTGAGAAACACTGAGCTAGATGGCCCAGTATTGACTACAACAAGACTTTGTGGTTTTTCAGGAGACATTCTCAGTCTATTCCTAAAAAGGAGAGACATCCTGTCCATTCTCCTAGAAGTGCCAAGAATTGACCCTGTAATTAAGTGCATCATGCTTACACCAGACTCTACCATCAAACTGGTTTTATAGCAATGGAGGAGGGAATGGATTCTCTAGACCAGATGTTCTGGTCCATCACAATCCAGTCAAGTCTCCAACAGTGAAGAGGGTTCTGATTGGGTTTTCAAAAACCTAGATAGTTCATATCACAGTGTAACAACTTCAGGTATGCATATAGCGTGCATATGACTGCAGTCTCATGAGTCACATCATACTAAATTTTAAACCATGCTGATTGCAAACCCAGGTTGTACAATAGAGGTGGTATTCAGCAGGTTCTGACCAGTTCTGGAGAACCGGTAGTGGAAATTTTGAGTACTTCAGAGAACTGGCAAATACCACCTCTGACTGACCCCACCCCCATCTATTCTCTGCCTCCCGAGTCCCAGTTGATCGGCTGGGTCTTCTTTTGTTACCCTGCACAGGAGAACGGAGCTGGAAAGCAGGTTAGTGGGGTGGGGAGGGAATGGGATTTTGCAGCAACCTTCCCCTGCCATGCCCAAGTCATGCCCACCAAGCCATGCCACGCCCACAGAACCGGTAGCAAAAAAAAAAAAAAAAATGGAATCCCACCACTGTTGTACAATATACCAAGTCAAAGGCAATCTGACTACATTATGACTTGGCTGGCTGAAGAATTCTGGGAGTTGAAGTCCACAAGTCTTAAAGTTGCCAAGGTTGGACACCCATGGTCTAAGCTAAGGCATGAGTGTTGATGTCATATAGACCTTTCTTGAGTCCCGAGGATAGTGTAATTGGGATGTGCAGAAGTCTACTGACAACTCCATCAATTACGAGTATTGATCTAAGCTTGTTTTATTCAGATCTGCACCGGGTCCTTATTAACTTCAGATACTGGTCCAGGACGTCTGCATCAGCAGGGGTTGTAGGAATAGCTGGGAATTTAATGCACCAACTAATTAAAAAAGGAGATTTTAAACTAAAAGTCCAGGTACATTAGGTTAAGTGTGGTTTAATCCAGAAAGCATACTAAGCTATTATGGCTGTTGTTAGATTTTGGCTTTATAAGGACTGTAAATTCATCTGTTATGATTTGCAGACCAGTGCAGGTGGTATAGTATATCGAATAAACAAACTTTAACTCATCTCTGGTTTAACAAACCAGTAATTATAATCATTTTAAATATAGATAGTTCTTGACTGTGACCATTTGAAGTTATGATGGACCATCCCCTTCCTATCCATGTTTGTGAGTTTTTTGAATGAATATATTTGGCTAATGCAAAGGTTTCCTTGGTCCAGTTCTGTAGATCCTTCTTATGTACTTATTTATTTTATATGATGTTTTCACTGTCACTGCCATGGATGTATCTTTATCCCCTGTTTTAAAGAATTGTAGGCCAGTACTACATTTGTACCCCCAAATGTTCTAAAGCAGGGGTGTCAAACTCAAGGCCTGAGGGCCGGATCTGGCTTGTGGGGTGCTTAGATCTGGCCCATGGGCCTGCCCTGGAAACAGTGAAGGACCAGCCTGTGGTGCCTCTGCCAGTCAAAAGAGCTTCGTACGGCCTTCCCGGGCTCCATTTTGGGGCATAATGGCCTCCTGCAACCTTTTGCCAGTAAAAACGGAGCTCGGGGAGGCCCTCCCGAGCTCCGTTTTTGCTGGCAAAGGGCTCCAGGAGGCTATCGTGGTTGAAAACTGAGAGCAGGAGGGCTGTCATGGCCAAAAATGGAGCCTCGATGAGTGACATCAAGCTGGCCACGTCCCCCCTAGCCATGCCCCCCTGCCCCCCCACCCCCTGAGGTCAAACACAACCCTGATGCAGGCCTCAATGAAATTGAGTTTGACACCCTTGTTCTAAAGCATCTTTTTGGAATTGAATTCAAATGTACAGTTTGGATAGTATCCCATTTGGCCGTGTATTTCTGACTAATAATTGCTGGGAATAAAGCCAAGGGAGCGTGCTATTTTTAAGTCTACAATTGTCAATTAATATGTCTCATATGTTGATTTTGTTACACAGGTAGTCCTCCATTTATAACCAATCATTCACAACTGAAATTACGATGCTGTGGAAAAAAATGGACTTGGGATCTGTGCCTGAAGTGATGGTTGAGGCGGGGCCCACAAAGACACATGATCAAAATTTGGGGGGTTTGGCAGCCTGCCCACACTTGTGATTGCAAGGCCGTTGCAACTCTCCTCACCCATCTATCTCCCCACAAGCTGTGTCCTTTTGACTACCCTGCATAGGAGCCCTCGGTGGCGGCAGCGGCTCTGGGGTTGAAGTAGAGATGTGGGGGCAGTGCAGTTGGAAACCTCTGTTTCAGCCCCAGTGCCAGCACTGCCACTGAGGAGTGCCACTGTGTAGGGCAACCAAGAGGGGTTAGTTGGAGTGGGGGAAGAGATAAGACGATGGAGGGAACTGCCCAGGAATCCTAAATGCTTTTTGGTCAGATGGGGGCAGAGGTGGTATTCAGCCAGTTTTGACAGGTTCTGGAGAACCGGTAGCGGAAATTTTGAGTAGTTTGGAGAACCGGCAAATACCACCTCTAACTGGCCCCGCCCCCATCTATTCTCTGCCTCCTGAGTCCCAGCTGATTGGCTGGATCTTCTTTTGTTGCCCTGCACAAGAGAACGGAGCTGGAGAGCAGGTTAGTGGGGTGGGGAGGGAATGGGGATTTTATAGTATTCTTCCCCTGCCACGCCCACCAAGCCATGACACGCCTACTAAGCCACGCACACAGAACTGGTAGTAAAAGAAATTGAATACCACCATTGGAGGGGGGGGGCCTGAGGTTTCCTGGGTGCGATAGCTTTGTGTTGTGGTGCTGGGCCAGGCTGGGATAGCTGATGTAGAGTTGTAATTGCAGGAATGTCATTATCTTGATGGCAAACCTCAGGTAATGAAGGTTCCAAAGCAAATACAACTCAGGCAAACAAAGTTACTCATCTAAAGGAGGATTAGAGAGAGGAAGTAAACATATGTTGGACTTTAACTAGAGATAATTAATTGTGTTAATTACTACTATGCTAAACACTAACGAAAGTCAAGCAGAAACCAAAGTTAACCAATGTTAGAGGATTACTAAAAATGTGTATAAATGCAAGACTAGATTCCAATAAAGTTCATCATGATTCATTTGATCATGATCAAACACCTCGACTGCCTCGTCATTACAACAAGCTGAGATTTCCAGAGATGGCTGAGGCTTTGTGAAGTACTACAGCAGCCCTCCCTTCAAATTGTGTGCAGCCTACACCGTCCTGCCCTCACCGCCCCACCGGTACCCCTGCATGCCTATCTGGGATTCCCTCTGCTTAACCCATGACCCTAGTTTAATAATGGGATTGAGTGTTGGCATTGTGGTCACTAAGCAAGGTAGTCTTAGTGCCTTGTTTTATGACTGCATCACATAGTGACCAAAATTCCAGTCCCAATTGTCGTAAGTTGAGGACTACCTATATTTCAGATTTTGTGATCGTTCCCAACTTATGACTGCAATGAAGTCATACCAAATACAATATTAAGTTATTGCAGTTATTAAGCCTTATGGTCACCTCGCTCAACGTCCTGGCCTTCTCAGGCGCAGATGCTAAGTGACTAGTAATAGCACTTAAACTTATATACCGCTTCACCATGCCTCACAGACCTCTCTAAGCGGTTTTACAGAGTCGGCCTATTGCCCCCAACAATCCGGGTCGTCATTTTACCCACCTCAGAAGGATGGAAGGCTGAGTCAACCTTGAGCCGCTGAGGATTGAACTGCCGAACTGCAGGCAGCCGGTAGGCAGCCGGTAGGCAGCAGAAGTACTGCACCACTGCAGCTCATAAAGTGAAAGAGCTGCTTGCTGAAAAAGGGCAGGCTGTTCCTCTCTGGGCACAGAACAGGCAGGCTAAGCAGCAGAAAGGAAGCCCAGATCTCAATGATCCAAGCTTCTTTCTCCAGCCCAGCATACTGGCTCCCCTCCCTAACCTTTCTGTCTGACAGAAGGTAAGGAAGCAGAGGTGGAATTAGCAGGTTCTGACCAGTTCTGGAGAACCGGTAGTGGAAATTTTGAGTAGTTCGGAGAACCTGCAAATCCCACCTCTGACTGGCCCCGCCCCCATCTATTCTCTGCCTCCCGAGTCCCAGCTGATTGGCTGGGTCTTCTTTTGTTGCCCTGCACAGGAGAACGGAGCTGGAAAGCAGGTTAGTGGGGTGGGAATGGGGATTTTACAGTATCCTTCTCTGGCCATGCCCACCAAGCCACGCCCACAGAACAGGTAGTATAAAAAAAAAAAAACTGAATCCCACCACTGTTAGGAAGTGTATCTAGCCCAGAATGTGGAAGGATGGCAGTGCACTGTGTGGAGAAATCTTCCAAGGAGGGCAGGGCACCGGAAAAACAAAATCATTGTGACTTCTGTTGAGGTAATTCCCTGTTAGGAGAATGAGCGCATACAGGGAGACGTATAGAGAGTAGTGTTGGAATAATACACACAGAGCACACAGATACACTGTACAGTAAATGTAGGTTTTTACTTCCAGAAAAGTTTAAGCAAAGTCCAAAATAAGCAATCCAAAATCATTCAC